TGTTGATTTCTGGAACGCAATGGCCAATCAGAGGTGATTAAGTTAGGATCTACTCACCACAGTGCTGAAATTGCGTGCTCACGAATCCCCTCGTTTTAACACATGAAGTGTAGACATTGTGAAAGATTCATTGTGCATATATTTAATGTGTTATAACAGAGCTTTATGAGATATAGATTAACCGAGATGTCAGCTTTTAGTGATAATAAAGGAAGCGCGCTGCTCACATTCTGCCATGCCAAACCACGCACACAGCAGCCCATGCTTGCTTTTCTGTTAAAAATAACAGTGGTTTGTGATTGTGAATGTTGATGCTTAGCCTAAATAACAAATATTTTATCTGGAGCGTTTATGCTGGTATGTTGCGGGGCTTAGGAGTATTACAGAACCATTTCATGTAAATTTCTTCGATGTACTGAAAACAAATCTATATAGATTACTTTTTTGCGGGCGGGAGCGGGGCAAAACATGAATGTCGCAGGCGGGAGCGGGACCAGATAAGATATATTTCTGCGGGAGCGGGCGGGCGCGGGACAGAATCTTGCGGGAGCGGGACTGAAAAATCCGTCCCGCGCACACACACACACACACACACACACACACACACAGAGTCCAGCAGGTGGCGGTAAAGCACCTATTAGCTAGTTTGCCAACCGCCAAAAATGCGTAAGAAGAAGCTTCCGCACGCTGACGGCAGTTGCGTGTGTTTGCAGGCCTACACCATAGACTGTATAAAAACAGGCCTACACTCAGCGACTACAGCACTTGGGGAAGAGCAATGAATTCATTAGAACAAGCCGAAGGTATTTTTCAATAGATCGATTATCAGTTTAGTGTTCTCATCTCCAAGTGTCATATCCAAATATTAGCGCAGCGTCCATGTGTTTGTTATGGCAAGTTAGATGTATAGTGTTGACACGGGGCTGCTAGCATCTAAGCTAAGATTCTAAGACCCTTCAGCTGATAAAAGCGTGATTTCTTTTGCTGACATGCACTGCAGCAACATTATGAACGTAAGTATGTTAAACGAAATGTAGCAAGACTGGTGCCTCAACAAGGAGTGCAGGCCCTACATCCCAATGTGCATATTAATCACCCTATCTGCCCAAAATAGTATTGACAATTACTAATATAACATAGAATTTAGGATGGATAGTATGCACATTGGGACGCAGGCCCGGTCTTGGCTTTTAAACGTGTTGGCCAATCATAATGCCATCATATCTGACACTGACGTATAATACATGCAAAATAGTGCACATTTTCCACAAAATGTAAAAGCTATTAAGCTGCCTGTGCATTAATATGCCTGGTACAGCTGATGTTTCTGACCCTATAAACTCAAATCAGTGTATTTGCCCATCTATATTCTTAGCTTTTCTTCATTACTCGTTTTTCAGAGTGATGTGAAACACAGCAGCATGGTGTCTTAAAGGGGTATTTCACCGCTGACAATGTGGTCTTTGAATAACACTTGGCTGTCTATACAGTAGAAAGGCGAAATGTTTTTGAAAAAGGGGTTACATGACTAAAAATGGAGAAAACGGTTTGTGGCGTTCACTCTTGCTAGAAATGTAGGAAAACTCCAACACCCATAATGCTCTGGTTTCGATCCAACTGTTCATGGTCGAGAATACAAAAATGCGAAAGTACCATAGTTTTAATAAAAGCCCTGCAGCAGTCAGAAAATCACTTTAGCTGATAAATAAATTGGGAGATCCGGGTTCAGGTCATGTGGGGGGAAAATACACATTGTTCATTTATATGTACTACCAACCAACACCAACATTGTAATGATACAAAGCTGTCTTTGAACTTGTCCTTTAAGTGGTGGCTGAATTCTTTGTATATTAAAACTAAAATTAGAAAAACAGATGTTGCTTACCTCACTGTCAGTCCTGTTCTGATGCAGTTGTTTTGCTCCTCCGCAGACCTGAAGGCTTTTGAGAGGAGACTGACGGAGTATGTGTCTTGTTTGCAGCCAGCTACAGGTCGTTGGCGCAGTAAGTCAGACTGGTCAGGTCTTTATTAAACCCGTTTCAAGCAGTTTAAAACCTGGACTATGTGTCTGGTCTGAGCCAAGATCTATAATGCTTTCCAAGTGTCCATAGCATATTAATCAACAAGGACTGAAATGAAGCATATTGTGCCTTACATTGCCTTGTTTTAATTCATGAATTCTGCCTTCTTTTTGCAGTGATTCTGATCGTGGTGTCTGTGTGCACAGCCACAGGCGCCTGGAACTGGCTAATAGATCCAGACACTCAGAAAGTATGTAAAATTTAGAGGTGTCAGATTAGCGTCAAATGCCGCATTCTGCCTGTTTGCCTTTATAGTTGTTTGTCTGTCATGTTCTCTCTTTCCACAGGTTTCTTTCTTCTCATCTTTATGGAATCATCCATTTTTCACAATCAGCTGTGTGACTCTGATTGGCCTTTTCTTTGCTGGAATACACAAACGAGTTGTCGCACCATCTATGTATCCTTTTTAATACAGGAAATTTGTACTGCCTTTATTGAATTCAGCCAATCTGTTGACTATTGACAATTGCAAAACTGCAAATGATCAGTGACTACCAAATCTCTCCTTAACCACTTGCAGTATTGCGGCACGCTGTCGGACAGTACTAGCAGAATATAACATGTCCTGTGATGATGTGAGTACTTGTGTCCTCTGAATTGCCCTTTGCGATCTCTCAGTTCCACTGGTTTATGAATGCAAAATAACTTTTCTTGTGCAAACATTTGTATTTTTCCCTCTCGCATACTAGACGGGGAAACTTATCCTGAAACCACGGCCTCATATCCAATAGCGCCTTGAAAAGACAGAAGTGGAGAGTATTTCATATCATCATATTATTCATCAAGATTGCACATAGGCCTCAATGCCGGGACATTATCCATAAGTGTGTGAAGGTCGACCTCCCAAATAGGACTCTAACTTCCCTCTGCAATTTATGAAGAAGCAATGGGAGCTCAAACGGAAATTTTGAAGAAAAACATTGGTTCTTCTATTTTTAGATAACATCCTTATATTTCTGTTGGAAAATTTGAGTTTTATTTGATTGTGGATTTTGATATCCTCATTTGTAAAGCTGTTGTCCTATTTTAGATGCATACGGTGTATGTATTTTTAAGTAAATTGCTGAACACATAATATTAAAATGTAGATATTTGTTCACATTAAGCTGACCTTTATATATGTAGGCAACATTTGTAGAATGTCAATGCCTATGACATGATGTGCTGCTTTTTGTTGTTTTTAAAAAGTACTTTTATGTGACCAAAGGCTGCACTAGATGTTAAACATATAAGGGAAACAGGCAAATGCATCTTTAATGAGTGTCATGTTTGGCTGAGATTTTATTTGCTTTCACTCCAGAGTCAAAGTCTACAAGAAAATCTTTAAATGAGCTGTGTTGGCAATAATAAAAGGTGTTTGTTGTACAGTGTTTGTTGCTATTATTATTATTGTCTCTTAACCTGAAAACCAGTTAACAAGACAGATAATGTGTCTGCTTATCAAATTCCTATAGCCCAAATAGTACAGTATGGTGCTAGCAATACAAAGGTCATGGTGGGTTCTGTTTCCATGCAATGCATGTAATGATGAAATGTATAACTTGAATGTAAGTCGCTTTGAATAAAAGTGACTACCAAATGCATAAATGTGAAGGTATTATGCCAAATTTACACTGCAAGTGTGCTCCTAAAGTGTCATTTTTTTTAGCTGTCTTTACACAGACTATTGCTGCTCAAAGGTGGTATAAATGCATGTACGCGACAATTACAACTGTATATTTTGATACTGAGGGCTAAGGTGGGTCTGGCTTTTAGGCAGCATATCCGCGAATCGACTCTTTCGAACTTAGTTGCGTCATCACGTCTTCCTAGTGATTTACATATTTCAAAAACAAAAATCGAAAAATTCACATTTATGCACATATTTCTGTTACAGTAATAATAAAATACGGTTTTTAAAACGGATAGTAGAGGTTTTATTGCAATTTTGTGTTTTCCAACCAGCATGGCCGGACTTACCATTGGGCTTGAATGGGCTGCAGCCCAGGGGCCCCGCCTTGTAGGGGGCCCCGCCTTAACCCGTTTACATTTGTTCAGTTATGTGCCAGTCAGAAATTATTAGCCGCATTTCAACTGCGCGCACGGGCCAGCCGGGGCTAACAGCTTCCAGCTTCCAACTACGACATTCGAAGCCACAATCAAACAGCATAAACTGGAATTTATGATTTTTTTTTCACATAGAAAAAGGACACACGTATTAAATCACGTCTGCGCTGCGCCGAATCGACGATTAATTTGTGAGCACATGGCTAGCTACTTTAAACGGTTCCATTAAGCCTTTAGCCCAAAAGAGAGCACATGATAAATTCTCACGTTCACATCTTTACAGAGGATGATTCTATATTATATTAATGTTCCACTAAATTAATCTGAAGAGTTTTGAGCGCTCTCTCCCATCCAAAGACTGTAGAATACCCTAATATCGTCTCAGGTTACTTATGTAACCATGGTTCCCTGAGTAGGGAACGAGACACTGCGTCCTCTAGGGGTCGCT